TGAATGTAGTGTAAAGCGCTTTGGGGTCCTTAGGGACTAGAAAAGCGCTATACAAATGCAGGCCATTTACCATGTAGGTTGGATCTGTGCACCGCAGTTGGGTTATTTAGCCACTAGAGGGCACTGAAGACCATGAAATTGCTAACCTTTCCTAATTTTGATGATTGTTATATTTGACATGTGCTAATTGTTTCTCCTTGTTTCTTGATATTTAGAACCACATGCATGTCCGCCCATGCCACACTTGTTAAGTATGCCTACTGCTGTACTGTTGAGCTGCTGTTAACTTCCATTAAAGTATATCCGAACATCACTCTCTGTGCCCCACTCTCTGACTGGAGTTTAAGTCCTGAGGAAGCTATCATTCCAGCATCCCAGAGATAATTCTATAACACTTCCAGTGTAAGTTTGAACACAAAGCTACAAAGTTATAAGCTGAAAACTAGTTCAAAGAGCACTTCAAAGTATATGTTGTGGTTACAGAGTCAAAAGTATTAATACAGACTCACACACCCACTAGGCTTTGGTTAAATCTCCCTTAGCAAGTTGCACCCTGAGCAGACCATTTTGGTAGCCATCTTCGAACTTCTGCCATAATTCTGGCTGGATATTTGATTACTCTTCTTGTCAGAATTAGCAGAATTCATTCAAATTGGTTGGTTTCCTGACACGGACCGAACTTTTATTGGTAATACACAAATTTTTAATAGGCTTCAAGTTGGGACTTTGGCAAAGCTGTTTCTGAAGCTTAATGCTAGCCCACTTTATCCACTCTAAAACCATTTTTATGCTTGTTTGAGATCATCATGTTAGAACATCCAATGTGTCCAAGTTTCAACTGTGTAGCTCTTGATGTGAGGTGAAGTTAAAGAATCTGGAGGTAGTCTTCCTTCATTATTTAATGATGAAGGCACCACATAATTACAGAAACTCAAAAATAATTTGAAAATTGTGCACCCAAAGTTGTTATAGATGCATGCTGCACAGTCATTTCACCCTAGGAAACAAATATATAACTTTAATACTGTAATTGTATGCATTTATTTATGTGTAGATAGATGTATATACCTTACAAATTGATCATTTATAAGGTAATCTAAACATAATTTATTTACTGAGTACACTTTTAATCTCTCGTGACCTGACATTATGTGTTTATGATTTATGTATTTATTTTTCCTCTTTTTATCCAGACTAGTCTTTGCATGCAGTCTTAACACATATACATATTAAACTCCC